GTGATTCCTGGATTTTAGAGTTAACATGAAGATATACAGTACCTAAGTACATTAAATTTACAGTACCTACCATTATACCAACTAGATTTGCAAAATTCCAAGTCTAACATTTTCTACGAATACTGCTGATCACAAAATTATTAATTATTATTTAATATTATTAATTGTATCGGGTACCTATAATTTATATTTTAGATTCTGAGCGGAACGATGAATATTTTGATTTTACTATGATGTGTATTTAATTTTTAATTTTTTTGTTATTATTTTTTTTTTGTGTTTGATGCGTACACGATAAGTAGGTAGTCAAAATAAACTTTCGTGTTCCATGCATAATATATTATAGGTAATCAGTATGTAATCAATGATCATAGTTTTATTTTTAAGTTTCTTTGTATTTAGTAAATAATAATATAGGAAATTGTATTTTCGAACATTAATTTTTTGTTTGTATTAAATACTTTCACCATAATATAGAACTAAAATTGTCATTTATCGTTAAAACAACAAATTTTGTGAAAAATTCAATTTTGGTAGGTAAGTGTTTTGTGTAGGCATAATAAATGTTACATTAAAATTTAAAAAATTCAAAAAATTACATTAATTGGAATTTGGATTATTAATTAGAATATAGGTACCTACTACAGTTTCCAGATCCTACTACAACATTACGTTATATTATGTTTTTAATTATTAAAATGTCTAAAAAGTAAACGTAAATCCCAAAATAATATGAAATTATGAAAACAAACTTACGCTGAAACATCGACTCTCCCGGTGAAACCTAGCTAGAGTGCATCATCAACAATGCAAGTACGTGACGCCACCGAAGAAACAGATATCTTCATCTCGTTCCGAACTGTAACTTGAAATTATCGAATTTTTTATGAAAATTACCTGAACTAACGAAATGTGCGAATTCGTGTTAAAACTTACATAATAATATATACGGCTCAACGAACTATCTGACCATATTGATGGCTTATTATTTTTTTTTTCACTAAAATTATTAGAATTGTTAATCGTCGCGGACGAATGTCGACAATTGGCGATTGCCATAGATGATATAAAATATATTTTTTAATATGATAAATCCATAGAACTTCTACACTCAGCAGTCAGCACATAAACGGTCTATTGATAAACCGTGTGTTCTTTTACAGAAATGATTGTGGTCTGCAATGTATTCTTGTTTTCTATTTCAGTTAATTATCGCATGACGCATACTAAATTTAACCAAACAAATTAGTCCGCAAATTTATAGACATAACAAATATATAATATAAATTATTATTTACAGTAGTTTATATCTGTGATAGACACTAATATCTAATGCATTCTCCCGCCGGAGACCCAGTTCAGGGGAAGTTATATTTTTACCTACAAATTTATAAACTAAAAGTGGTTGGGGCAAGAAACTTTATGATTTATAAACTGATAAATAATTTACAAAATAATTTTCTCATGACTATAAATAACGCAAAAAGAGTCAAAATAGTTTGAAAATTTTAAAATGTATGGAAAATTCAAGTATAAATATTTTTTACTCTTTTTGTTACAGGTGGAAAAACTTATGTAACTTCTTCTATTTAACTTACCCTACCAATAATATCACTATATAAAATAATTAAAAGTGATAATTTGAAGACAATTTCTTAAAACCCTAGAATATTTTTTTAATTTAGTGTCTAAACCATATAGTTTAGCACCCAAGCAAATTTTTTTTTTTTTTTTGGAAACCTATGATTTGCAACCAGTTATAAGATTTATGATGCAAAAATTAATTCACGGAAATCATTAGTTGTTATCGCATAGCCTTATGAAGTTCACGATATTCGGTGTTTTACGCACCCGTACAACGCTTAAAGTTTACGTAGCTTAAGTTGGTATAACAAATAACAATTTTTTTAACCTAGTTAAATCAACGTCTTCAGAATGATGGTGCAAAAATAATTCATAGCAAGTTTTACATAACAAGTCGAGGGATGTTTTTAATTATAATTGTCCGAGCGAGCACAGCGTGTAAGTGAATACGCCGGGTAGGTATAAATGAGATAATCAAAAATTTCAATCAGCTATAACTTTAAAATAGACTTCACTATCATTTTCAATTAAAAAACTAATGATTTTCGGCAATTAATTTTTGCAATATCGTTCTCAATTCGTTGTAACTTCATAGGTCTAGAATGAAAAGGTTCTAAATCGTTTTTATGAAATAGTCCAGAAGAGCAATTTTAAGGTTTGAGTTAAAATATTTTATTCCTTGAAATCATTTTGTTTAAATTAAAGTTCTAAGGCATGTAGCCACTTGTATAGTTTAATTCACATCATTATAATAATAATTTGCTGTATTGGTTGGTATTAAAATTAATAAAATACATATTATAAATTGGTTCTACAATTAGGAACTTTTCAACCTAAAATAAAAAGAAATATATTCATCAATTAGAACTTTTTCATTCTTAACTGTTATTTGTATTATTGTTAGCTGAATATGTTAGGTGAATAGTTTTGATTCATAAATTCAGGCATAATTCGAATACAACTTTTTATATTTTAATTGTTAAAATGTATTTAAAAAAATAATAATAATCCTTTAAAATTAAGTACTTATTCATATTTTGAATAATTCACTCAGTTACTAGTAATTGTTTTGAACATAAAAAAAAAAAAATGCATTTGTGTGAACGGCTAAAATTGTGTATAAAGCATCGGCCAATGCATCAACATACATTTGTATTACATTTTAGTATATGATTATGGTAGACAAATTTTAAAAAATGGCATTTGGCTAAAGTTATATAGTTTTGACACCTTATTATAGGTTAGGTTAGGTCTTACATCTGTAAGACAATAAAAGTTTTTTTGAGTTAACTTTTAGTAAAGATCTAACAAATGACAATGGTGACCAAATATCTATTTTTTTATATGTTTTGTAATCTGTGAATATGCATTATCCACTTCTTGGATGTACGAGTGGCCTGGAACTGAAAACTTCATTGTAAATGATTTTGTTCTGGGATTTTTCAACATAAACCCAATAATGACATTATCTTATTCCAGTTTTGTGGCACACAACTATCAGACCATGTAACAATGTTTAGTACACCCAAATTATTATCAACAATATGTTGTAATATGTTAATAAACACACTTGCAAGGTCATTATCCGATCTACCAATAATTGTTTCATTCCAAATAGCACAAAATATAGTATTGGAAGTAGACAAATGAGTTGTAAGGTTTTAACCATTTAATTTTTTTTTATAAAACATTTGTTTGTGGAAGTGTGATTACATTTTGTAATACAAAACAAACAACTACATTTTCTTGATCACATCTATTTTTGTCTTCATCTCTTTTCATTCTCGTAGTATCTTTTTTAAGCGTGTGTTCTTCATACTGACATTGATTGTTCATTACTTGATACTTTAAATTCCTCACATGTAGCACATAAATCATTTTTAGGAGGGAAAAATCCATAGTTGAAATTACAATTAAATAATGATCTATTCAGGTGAGCTTTTACCGGCGTTCTAGGGTTCTAATCTATAAAGCATTTATTTGTATATAGATTGTACATTTTTGATATGTGCAACTCAGAATACAATATTGCTTTTTTGTATCATGTTGGTTAGGTAAATAACCTAACCAATAATAGCCCCCAAGTATTACCCATACATAGGCCCATAATATATCAATTTTTGTCAATTCTAATTTGGTTATACAGCATATGAGAGGCATAATATTATATTGCATATAATATTTGCCATTTTAAATAAGTAATAAAATATTATACACATTGGTCAAATAATCTCAATTTTTTTCAAAATCTGACATTGGCCCTTCTTGCGCCAAGCCACAGATATATAAGAATAAGATACAAAAAAAATATCAATGTAATCAAAGCAAAGTCCAAGTCCTTGGGCTTAGTAGTTTAAATATAGCAGTCCAGTTATGCAGGTCGCTATACATTTTAACATTAAATAATATAAGAAATGTTGTAATTTAAAAAAATTAATTCTAAAATTGATATAAATTTTGCAATAACAAAAAAAAAATGTAAAATTATGGTATAAATAATTATTGATAAAATATTTTAACTATAATAATTTAGCAATTATCACTAATGACCACAAGCATTCTTGTTTATTTTGCTTATAAATAATTTGCATATTTTGAACAACACATTTCACTTATTTTTATTTGCTGATGACACCAACAATTTTCAATAATTGAATCTTCTTCTGACGCAATAAAATTGCAGTTGAATTTAGACAAACTAGTCAATTGGAGTCATGATAATTATGTACCTCTGAATGTCAATAAGTGTGATATATTTTTTACTCACTAAAGAACATCTATAACTTTCAACTGTAATATTGATAATTTAAAATTAGTAAGTTACTTTTAATAAAGATTCAGGTATTTTATTTGATCAGAATATGTCTTTTTCTTTACACATTAGCCTGAAAGGGTTAAATATAATAATATACCTAATATAAAGTATATTATACACTTTGTCTTGGTTAGATCTAGACTTGTGTTTGGGTCAGTCTTCTGTCTGGTCACTAAGTTATACCAATCATATTAAAAATAAAGAAAACGTTCAATATAAATTTCTTACATTTATATGCTTCAAATTAAATTTGTCACCTCTAGACTTTTAAAGTTCAATAATAATAAAAATAACTTTTCTTTTTAAATCATACTTTAAAAACAATGTAATATGTAGTGTATACTAATTAGTAGTTTATTAATTTTACAATTTTTTACTAATAATAACAAACGTATAAAATAACATAGTTAAATAATAAAACATTATATAAACACAATAATTCAATAAAAATAAACTTAATAAATTACATTATTTAATAATAAAACATTTAACAATAACAGACCCCCAACAATGTTAAGTAAAATATTTTTATAAGTAGACAAGCAGAAAATGTTTTTTAAACTAATTAAAATATTTACAGTGTTTAGTATTTACAACATACTCAGGGATAAGGTCCAATCTGTTCTTGAACATACCCATCATTTCGGTGACCAGTCCTCCTCAAAAACATTAATAGGTCACCGTCTCTGTTGAGTTGTTGTACCGACTCTCTTATTATCCGCGTAGCGTTTTCTCTTAGAGATCTGGAAGTACCGTCTCTAATCTAAAAAAATAAATATAACTGACATAATTCAACCACAATCAATACAACAAATCATGTTTATTCAAAAAAATACAATTATTACTGTGAGGTTATTTGTGCGCTGTTGAAATTCTACAAAGAACTGATTTTCAACAATAATCAGTCTTTCTGTTTAGAAAAAAAAAAATATTTAAATTAATTATTGATAATATAATATTGTTGACAGTAAAAATAACTTTAAACAATATTTTGTTTTCATGCTACAGATACTAATAAAAGTGATACATTTATAAAGCACAATTAATATTCACCACACAACTAATATTTATAATGCTACATTTACACATAAGTTAGTATTGTAAGTAATAATTAATTAAATTTCTCAAAATTAAAATTATTTGTATCAATGATTCAAAACTAAGAGAATTAAATAGATTTTACAACACCAGGTTAAGCTAGTTAAGACAACAATAAACAATTAGAGCAAATAGCAAACAAACTATATACTATATTAAAAACAAATATTGATAGAACTTACTAATTTTATTCTTAAGAATTGTTCTTACACTGTTGATTACGTTAAACATTTAACTAACAACACAAACATAAAACACATAACATATAACACAAACATGTATAGGATAATGCAACATAGAGATCACAGTATGGTCAAGTGCAACTATGACGACTCACGAAGAAAATCCCAAATATTAGGGTGACGTCCAATTTGTGTGAGCAACGTTGAATGGAAAGATTCCAAGTAATTGTTGGTCCGGTGATCTTGACCAAAAACGCTTAAGCACCGTGGACCAATTTGCACAAACCAATAATCAAATACATAGTCCCTCAGAAAACGACTCATAACCTCACTGATTTCAGGAAATTGTAAGGTGTACGCGACAATTGTATGAAACCCATCTTCCATACAAAAATTAGGGCACCCGGGATTACCCCTTTCAGCCGGTAGATGAGGCAATGCTAATACCTGAAAAATAAAATACAATTGAAATACAACAATGTTTACTTGTAAACAAAACTCAAAGTTACCATTCTGAAAATACGAGCTGCCTCTTCACCAAATTCAAGACACCATTAACTTTTCGGTGACAATATCGAACAACTGACTGTGACATTCATATAAATTTTAAATAAATATTATTAGGTTTGCCCGGCAGGTATGATTATAACGAAATGTTTTATATTACTTGTGAAAAATGGAACCAGCAGCAGAGCAATTCACTGTTTGGAAATATTCCCCACTGAAAATTTCTACTACTACCATAACAAAGGTCAAATAAATTACCTGCAAGATCCATTTGAATAGTGAAATCTGTAAAACAGAGAAAAACAGTGAAAAACTGAGTGAAAACAGTGAAAAACTGAAAAAGTGAAATACGCGGGAATTGTATAACTTTTATCATAGTATAATTTTTATCATAGTATAACTTTTATCAATAGAAATTTAATAATAGTAAAAATTTATATTACAACATTTCGATTGCAATTGTTGGTAGCCCTTCGATTCTCGGGTCCTTATCATTTTTCGGACGACTGCCAGCCATCGGCAGTGTGGCACTAAAATAGTGAATACTGATTAGTGGTTACAAAGAAGAAGGAAAAATACGTGTTTTAATTCCAACTTAAATAATAAAAACATTGATTATAATAATAACATTATTGTTTGTTCGATTTCTTGAGTCATACGTCTTCCGGTTGTTTCACTCATTGTTTGGTAATTGGTGGTAAACTGTAGGTGATAATATTATTAAAATTATTGAATATACGTATTTGTGGTGATTAATAATATTACTATTATTAGTTGTTATGGAAATTGCGGTTTATTAAAATTATAAAATTCAAAGGTTCAAAACAAATATTGACAAGGAATAACTACGTTATTGAAGTGTGAGACCGTGAGAAAACAATAAACATCAAAGTAAAATGGTTTACATATCTCAAAGTGAGTTAAGTTTTTATAATTAACTTTTTGTCACTTATGTAATAATTATGAAATTAAAGGTAATCACTGAAATTCCTATAAATGTATTCCAAAATTAAACCAAAGTATCAAACAGAAAACTAATATTGTGTAATTTATGTTTATTGCCAATTAAGTTTATAATATTGTCTACACTCAATATAATATACAGTATAGGTACTGATTTAATCTACAGAAAATTGTTGCTATATTTCTAAAGGCTAAAATAGTGTGTAACCGATTTTGGATATTAGACCTTGGAATCATTTTTGAAAATCTGAAAATGTCTATTAAATATTTAAATGAACCTTAAAACGTGGTTTGGGTGAAGTTTTCATTAAGCATTCACCTATAGCCCATAGGCATATATCCATTACAATTTCGGGGGGAGAGCTAACCTTATTAACTTGAATTTGAGTGGGGAACTTCCCTCCCACACAACTAAGAAAGGAATGGCTTGACAGACTTTTGGAGGGCTAAGCCCCCCCCCCAATCACCATTATGAGTATAACCTACCTTAAATTAAGGTACCTACCATTTAAGTGTTTATTAGAACTATTGTTTGGCGACTAAGTCAGGTGTGGGTCCATAAAATGTTAACAGGTGCTCAATAAAAAAAAAATTTGTTATACATTTTATTTTAGATTTTGTAAATTATAATACAAATTTATCTTATTGGGAGCACCCTTAGTCCCCACTCCCACCCCCTGAACCCGCTTGAATTAAATAGTATATCCATTACAAACGATTTATATAAGTGTTAAATTTATTCAGGAGTATGAATCATTGAACTCAATTTTAATAATACCTACTCTTTTTTTACATTTTAGGTGGAAATTTACACGAAGCTGTTCCCATGAAGAAAAAAATTGTAGACACATTTTGGGGTGTTATAAACTTTGTTTCATTTTTGTAAGTATTTCAATATTTCAATTGTTTATCAACCATGATAAAAAAAAACTCCCTATGCCTAAATGTATCAATTTATAATAGTTTAAAAATATAAACACTTATAATCCGCCCGTGTTAAGAGCATAAATTATTACCGGGCCATACTCTTAACGCGCGACGGAGTATAGTATACTACACCTAGCAGGTATGGCTTGTTTATTTCAGTGTTTATACAAAGCAAATACAATAATATTATTATTCACTTTTTCAGTGTTCAAAGTTTAGTAAGGCCTAACTTAACTAGATGGGGTAATCAATATACAGTTACTTACAGGCGTCCTGGTTCTTCTTCAAGCGGGTAAGAATGGTTTATTACAGTTTTATTTTTATTAGAAGATTTCAAAATTAATTTCTATTTGTTTCTCAACTTATAAATTTCTTTAAACACATGCATCATTTATATTTTTATAGGACTGTGAGACCTCAACGACGTTTTGGTGGATTTGGCCCTAGTACATCTGCCCCAGCTCCTCCATCAACATGTAGTAGCTGTATGGGATGAATGTTTGTTAACCTAATATATAATTATTAATTCACCTAATCACAATTACAATAAATTGATAAATGGATAAAAATAATCTAGTCTTATACCAGAGTAAAATGTATTATTGAACATTAAATAGTATTTTATTATTTTGACAATAACTATCACCAAAAAAATAATTATACTAATAAGTAAAAAAATGTATTTAAATATAATTTTATGATTATTTGAAATATATCCAATATATTGAATAATAATGGACCAATAATTTAAGTAGTTAAGAATAAAAAAAAAAAAAAATTGTAAACCATAATAGTATATTAATCTATATTTTATTAATCTTATTTATTTGTTTAAAATATACACATTATTAATATTAATCATGACAAATAATATTATTATTATAAAAACTCAAAAGTTATATGTATAGGCGAGGTGGTCAGCTGCAATTTGATCTAGAATAGACTGTATTCCAGAAGTTATGAGCAGTTGACCAGTAAAAAAGGTGCCCAGTGCCAACAAGAGTGCAGAGAGGGAAAAGAGAAACAGCACCTATCCGATGTGCTGTCTTGTTAATTAATATAACTGTTGTTTGTGGGTATTACAGTGTTTGGAACGTTCACTAAAAAAATGAACTCGTTCACGTTCAGTCCTTAAAAAAGAAACTCGTTCGTGTTAGTGTTTTTTTTCTTACAAACGCGTTAACATTCGCGTTCTTTTAAAAAAACGAACGCATTCATTGGGTCGTTCATTTAATTTTTTTTTTTATGAATCGTTAGCGTGCAGTCAATATAAAAATTAAAACCCATAAACATATACGACTCAACCGAAAACTAAAAATACAATTTAGATTTTAGAGCATATACAATTTATAAAGTATCTGAATTAATTTTTAATATCTGACACGTTATTTGAGTTACATGTTGATAAGGATTAATCCTAGTAATAAAATTAAGCAAATACTTGGGTACTTATTATGATAAACCGATTAGATTTATTACAAATTCGTGGGAATCATAATATTATTGTTGTTGTATGTCTAGCCGGGGACACCGGAATTTTACGTATTTAATTTATATATTTTGCAATCAAACAAATATAGGAATTATAATGGGAAAATGAAAATATTATTATTATAATATAATTAATTAATATATTTTATACATATAATATTTATTAAATGGTAAATAAATTGAACATCTTAAAAATCGATCAAATTCATTAAAAATATAAACGTCGTTCACGATCACATTCTATTTGCAAAAACCAGTGATATTCATGTATCTCACTATACAGGGTGATTAGCTAAGAGTACAATGGTCATTTATTTCAAAAAGTATTAATGTTTTTGAGAATATTTTCTTACAAAGTTTCGAGTTGTTAAATAAACAACGTTTTTAATAAAAAAAATATATTTTTTATTCTTATAATTTTTTTACTTTTTTGAATGACAGCATAGAGTTTTAATTTCATTCTCCAAATCAGAATATTTTTCTAAGTATTTTGGTACATAAAAATTGAATTTAGGACGAGTAGCTTATGAGTTATAAGTATTTAAAGTTTAGACAAGCAGAGTAGTGGACAAACATTTTAACCCCATACCACTCCACTCCGCCCATCAGCCCATAACTCATAAACTATTTAAATTCAATTTCTATGTTATCAAAATACTTGGAAAAATGTTCTGCTTTGGAATATGAAATTAAAACTATGCTGTAATTCAAAAAAGTAAAATACTTAAAAAATTTTAAGGATAAAAAATATAATTTTTTAATAAAAACGTTGTTTATTTAACAACTCGAAACTATATAAAAAAATATTTTCAAAAACATTAATACTTTTTGAGATAATGAGTGTTGTACGCTTAATGAAATGACGTTCTTTCCAAACATTGGTATCACAGAGGTTTATTAAAAAGTTCCATGGACAGAGGTATGTCCAGCAAGTAGACCTGATTTTGAACCCTTATAATATACCCAATATAGGAATTTTTAAATTAAAAACAAGAAATTGTATATATTTAATTTTTTGTATTAACACACCAACATTAAAATCTGAATATGAAATGTGAATACGTCGGTTACATACATCTGCATAGATACTCGTATGGCCGTGTATCAATCATATTTTGTGCGAATAAAAATCAAATTTTGTACAATAATCTATCAATAAAGCTCTTCTAGGAAAAATATACATCTGCAAACCAGCCCACAACCATATTATATGACAAAAATTTAAAATGTATAATGTGTATATCAAATATTAGCAGGGCTTTGCACCGGAATCATTATTTCATTATTTATGCAAATTAATTCGGGTTTCGGGTTTTTTGGATATTAATTTTTTCAATCGGTTTTGTATAATATATGGGTTTTGGGTTATGATATTAAATTTTATTTGTGTTAAGTTCGGGTGCTAAGTCCTGAATTTATTAGTTAATATTATGATTGATTGTACATTTAAAAAATAATATTAAAAATTCCCTTAAAATAAAATGTGTATATTCTACAAATTTTCTTAATACAGCAGGCCTCTCCTGAATTTTTAACCTGAAAACACCTTTATCCATGGACCATATGATTAGTAATCAGAATATGGGCCACTTTATTTTGGATAATAGCCCCTTCAAAATGAAATACAACAAAAATAACCTATAACAGATAAAAGTATTATTCAAATTCACCAACATTTCATAATTATATACATAAACAGAAACCGAAACATTATTTTACAATAATTCCTATTAATAATATTTATATAAAGATTAAAAACAATATTAAGACTGAAATATTATACCAAATTATTAATAATAGATGTTTAAGAAAAACTTTTATTTTATATTTAAATTATATAACCTAAATAACGTGTTGGTAATGGAGTGCAATGTGTGGAATTGTAGTCTTTCATATAATAGTCAGCCTAAAAATAAAAGTAAAAAGTTTATAAATTAAATAATCTCAGAAATATACTTAAATTAAATTCTTCAAGAAAAGGCTTTGAAAATAATAACTTACCAAGTACAGTAACATTTTTATTTTTTCTTGATCTTTCCAACCATCACCAAGATTTAATGGATAATTTCTATTGGATGATGAAAATAGTTTTGATTGAGTGTTTAAGTCAACATCATATTGCAAATGTAATTGATCTAAAAAAAAGTATAAACATTCAGGAATTTCATATTTCTAATAAAATAGTAATAATTAAAAACAACTCAGTAACAAATTTTATTTTTTTAGTAAATTTTAGATTTTGAGCGGAGCTAGTGGTGTAACAATGATGTTTATTTTTTTTTTGTTTTTATTATGTATACAACATTTCTACCAGAAGGAGTGCTTAGACTTCAACACATAGTACCATATCTTTTAGCAAGATGGATCAAGATAGTACTTTAGGGAAGTATTTATTCGATTATCTCAATAGTTATTTATTGCCAAGTGCAAAAATACCGACAAACTACGAAAAACCACTAAAAATGGGGTTTTAATTTCTAACGCTTCGTTTATCACCATAGCAACAAATAAAAAATTATAATATTAATTCAACTTAAAGGCTATAATAAATAATAAGAGTATAAAAATCCAGTCTCCGCTCAGAATTGTTTTTCTTAAACAATATTATTGAATTGAATTGAAGTTTAATACAATCCACTATACATTGACCCACTTGTAACCTATTGTACAGAAGAGTGACATCCACTTGACCGGTTTTTTTTTTTACTTATAATTTTTTAATGTTATGTTCATATTCACAACATTTAACAATTCTCCTTTTGTTTTATAAAATAAAATAATTATTAACTTTGTAATTGTTATTACATACTTTGTTGTTCGCCAGATGTGGATAGCCAAACCCAAAGAACTGACCTCGATTCATTGGAAAAGAGTTTTGGAAATCTTCTTTCTAATAATAATTCTAGTAGGTAATTTGCTCGATTTGTAGCTACATTTTGGGGACTTTAAATAATAAAATATAAATTAAGATAATAAGCATAAATCAATAGTTGTATGCTTTACTCAAGTGCAATGATTTCATCACTGGATCGTCGAATTAGTAGAACTGGCCCTGGATATTGAACTAAATTTTCAGCCACATTCAAGTTTGTAAATTCTTTTACAGTCAACTCTACTAGTTTCTCAGCAAAGCTAGGCATCCGTGGAATAGCTAATGGTGTCAGATCATCAAATGTAGCATCCAATATCTAAATATAAGCTAATAAATCAAGTATTTTTTATAAGCACTTAAACTGTTAACATTTACCACAGCATGGACATCAGGGAACTTTTTGGCTAAATAAGTGGAAGCAAAGCCACCAATACTCCAACCATATAAAATAATATTTTTAGGACTAAATTTTAAATGCTTTATAGCAAATTCTATTACTGTTTCAGCTGCATTTTGTTCTTGCTCTATATATGGTACACCCTGTGAATAAATAAAGAATGATGAGCAACAGACAAATAATTTTTAAATATACATACTTACTGTACTATATCCAAATCCAGGATGATTCCACCCCAAGACAGAATGATGAGTTTCAATAGCTGAGCTCATAATTCCTGCTTCATAGAATCCAGCATTTCCTTCGGTACAAATAATTAATTTTGGGTTCAAAGAATTAATATTTGATTGTCTAGAACAAATGTATAAGATTAAAATACTACAACCATATAAATAATATTTCAATGTAATAGCTACTAAGATGTTACACAAATATAAATTATAATAAACCTTTTGTCTATGAACATGGAGTCTACAAAATTTCCATCAATAGTTTTTAATTTATATCTTACGCCTCCAAATGAAGTGATTAAAGCTCGTCTTCCTTTCTGTAAGTTCTGATCCACTGTAATAAAATTAATTCAAATAGATTATTCTATGATATCATTGTTATAATATAATCTTACTTAAATAGAATAAAAGTGAAGTAGAACCAGGATAAATTAATGATATTCCAAAAGTATGCACTGCTATAAACCCGATGAGACGACTAGGACTACTTAGAAGTTTTAATGACATCTTATAATTATTGCTTGTTAAATTTGTTTTGTAACTTTCTCTTAAAATAAATAAATCATAAATTACAAATATTTCACAAATACAGTAAAATAATTAAATACATACTCTTCATCTGAAGTCCATGAAAAGTCTACAGGCCATGCTGAAAAATCAAAGTCGTAGCTGTGCAGTTTTTTCTAATAAAAAAAAAATGGGAATGGATAATAATAATTTGAGTTGAAATAAAAGAATAGATACTTTACAAAATGTACTTGTTATACCTTATTATCAGTCGAATAATCCAATTTAGCATTTATAAGATCTTTATGAAAAGCTTTATACTTTGGATTTATAGCTCTTCCGTAACTTCTCAAAATAAATGTTGTCATCAAAGTTAATCCTAATATTGATCCACGAAAAAATAGTTTGTTTACAAAGTCTGGACTTAACAGACATTTACCATACATGTATAATAATGCAGGTGAAAGGTAAGTGGCTACTTGTGAAACAATGTAAGTCTGGAAAAGAAAGAAATAGTTATAGAATAGTTTATGATATAAATTATAATATTAGTTTAATTGAAAATGTCTATATTCAAATACCGTATAATCTTAGCTTTTTATTATATTATACTATAGTCTATAACTATATTATACTGTATTGTATTAAATATTTGAGGGGACGTAATGCTACCTGAAAGGATGTAATGCTAACGTGGTCCCCCCTCAGGTTAGGTTAGGTTAATCAAAAAAAAATTTTAAATTTAAAAAAAAAAGTTTTTCAACATTTCAGAATGTTATTGAACACCAATCTCTCTTTTACCTATGCCAAAGAAAAATAGCAAAATCTTAACAATTACTGAACTATCTTTACCATACTCGTTTTTTGGAATCACTGTTAAGAGACTGCTCAGTGCGCCAACTTCTAAAGTCTATACTGAAATAGTTACCCAGTTCGCAACTAGGAGCGGCTTAGCCCCTCCTGACTAAGATTTAGCCCCCCAAAAAATATTCCTTGTTTTATTGATTTAGTTACAAGCCGTCTTTGGGTTATTTTAAATTAATAGTTTTGTTAGGTGGGTTATAGCGATAGCCCTCCCAGCATTTTAACCCTAGTTGCGCCTATATCGTTACCATGTTTACGACTTTCACTGTTATCTGTTTCAATAAATGCATAATGCCATAATACGCAAATGAAATTCATAAACAAATGTGTTTATATGATATACGTATAGTGTATGGTATATTGGTATGTCTTAAAATGTATTGTTTATAATAGACTATAATATTATTGCATTAATAATTAACACAATTTTGAATTTGATTATTATATAACTATGATCCATTACAATTAAAATCACACATGTTATACATTAAAAAGTCACAAGGTAATATATAAATGTTTAAAAAGATAAAATAAAATAAAAAATATGTTGTATACATACAGTCATTAATATTCTGTCTGCTACTTTTTCTTGCCATAGTTGAACATAGTCCTGTAACAAAAGTTTAGAATTTAATACTTAAACATTTAAAATTATAAAAACCTTAATAAAACGTAAGTAAGAAAGTTGTATATACAAATAAGTTGACTAAATTTAAGTTTTAATTTTTTTTGAAAGCAAAAGTATTTATATTACTTAGGTATATTAGTTATAATTTATAATACATCAAAAATAAATTTAGAAACATACAGTGAGCAAACGTGTAATCTCATTTACTTATGAATACAACATTTAAATATTGAAGTATTCTAAAAGATCTTATAGCAGTTGATCAAATTTGTGAATACCAGTTTTTAATTTATATATTTTGTAGATGAATATAATTGACATAATACGGACATTAAAATACAATATTATTGCAAATAACACTCACAAGTCACAATATATACTTAAGAGAATTCTTCAGAAGTAGCCTAATAGTCAGTTAATTGTCCATATCTGGAGAATAACCACTTAAGTTAAATTATCACTCAACTATACAGCTTGTATTTTATAAACACCAGATAATTCTTTTATTTCTGTAATAAACATGAAATATTTTTCAACCATATACCATTAAAATGTTAAACTCAAGAAACTTTTTGACAAAACATTCTTGAAAGAAATGTTTGATACCAATATTATTCCCAATGTAATAATTCAACATTAAATTAATATTTTATACCTCCTTAGAATTAACCAAACTATCATAGCGATACTAGGCTTTGTGAACACTATGTAGAACTAATCTATAAAAATGGGTTCAATGAACTAATACTTTCCGCTGAATCTAACATCAAAATGTATACTGATACATCCAAGTGTAAATCTGGTATATGATTTTTGGCATTGCTCTATTTAATTTTAATAGTAATGTATTAATTCATAGTTTGGATTTATAAATTAGTAACCTTATAACCATTCCAGTATTTTTTAATTTCAATTTATCCTTTTATGTATGATATGATTGGTGTTTTATAAGTAAAAAAGCTTGAAAATGTAATACAAGGTTCCTCTAAAGTTTTTCATATCCCAATTAAAAAGTATCATAAATACATTGTTTAAATTGAATAACTTAAAAGTGGCCTACTCTATGCCGAGTACACATGAAACTACCATACAGCAGATCAACTTCCCCAATTTTTAATTTTGTCAAACAAATTAATGTTTTCAACTCTCCAATATCCTGAGGTACATTTCAAAATACTAAACTTTGTAATATAAAACAGCTAAAGAATAGAATTCATTACACAATAGGCAAATAGCTACATAATAGCATAAACAATTTAGATGGTTTTTATCCAACATTTTCCTATAAAAATATTTTAATAATCATGACTCATACGTTCCTAATGAAATATTAAGAATAACTTTGTAACCTTTGTTATATATTATAACAGAGTATATAAAAGGAAAAATGTTATATTAATGCATAATGGTTTGTTTTTATCTTATTATTTATTTATACAAGGCACATTATCTTATCTATAATAGTTTTTTCTAACTTCAAAGGTCGTATCATTGATTAATTATACAATAATAAGTATAATAGTATAATTTTATTAATCAATGGTCATATGACATATATTAGTAGAATTATTATACAGAACAGAAAAAACACCACAGTAAAATTAATAGTAATGTGTGAAGTACTGAAAATAGAGTAGATATTATGTTTGTAGTGTTTTTATGTAAAACCGTAACTGTAACTGTAATAACTTTGTCCTTGGTCACTAATACTTCAGTACCATATTCCTAGTGTTTATTTCAAATTTTAATTTTTTAATTTTTTATAGTTTATTCATTTTAGTAATAAAATGGCGGTAAGTCTAGAACATATTATTTTACTTATTAAGTATTAACGTATTATATTATTATTATAATTGATTAAGATTAGGCTAAACATAATGTGTATAATAGTACTTTATCAATGTTTTTAGTTTTTACTAATTTTCAAATTTTTACAAAAATTAATTGGATTAACTAATACTATAAGTACACAATTATATTTACCATACCACGTTAGTACTTAAAAATAATTAATAAATAAAAATACAGTCAAATATTATCTGATATGAAGTATTTTTCTTATAATTAAATTAAATGTACTTACAGATAGGGTCAAAACTCTATATTAATGCTTATTGGTCACCCAACTAAATAAATAAAGATGTTATTGCTAATTGCTAATACTATTTGTTTAACTATATAGTATGTTTTTATTCCTATCAAAAATGAACTATTCAAAGCACATACGTTAAAACTTGGTTAGTTTCAATAGACAAGTAAAATATTTGATTTAATAGAGGATACTGGATAACATACATCCTAACAGAAAATTAAACATATTTATGAAAAAATTTTATTTCAATCACAAAATAATTACTAATTAATTCATCTCAATAATATTCTCTGATTTTTAACAAACCAATTAAATAAAGAATTTTTTTTTCATAGTTATTTTTCTGGTTATCAAAGAGGTATTTAGACTTTATAGTAAACTATACTCTGTCCAGCAAGGAAACACACCGATTCTGGGCATCCCTACAACACCTATCCACCTATCCATTGAGACCGATTTCTCTATGCAAGGTGCTCGAGGGAAAGCACAAAGACAGAAGAACCGATTTTTGTCGGGTAGCTATGTGTTCTCTCGTTATAGTATATGTGTATAGTAGTTTGTTATACTGCATAAATAACAAAATGTTTGATATGTGTTAGTATTTACTTTTATTAATTCTTTACGAAGCTCAGTAATTATGTATTAAATACATATTTAAAAGTTAATATAGGTAGGTAAAAAATTTTAAAAATATATCAAAATAGGTATGTACAATATTTACTAAATAAAAGTATAATTCTAAAAATGATAATGACAAAGATACCAAATTATGTTAATTGGATAATTAAAAATGAATAATTTGGAACTAAAATTGGGACATATTATCCTTTATTAGAATACCATTAAACTGTACATAGACATTTTAAATATTTGTTTTGAAGAATGGGGCCTAAAAGTGTATGATAAATGAAAATAAGAGTCTTATTTATATAGGTGTCACTCTAAATACAAGTTAAAAGTTTATGCTTACATCGTTTCTCCGAATTCCAGTATATACTTTGTAAAGCTTTGGTGTAAATATATAATCGGTAAACATTGTATGTTATTACTTATTATATTGTGTTCACTTTTAAGTCTTGTGAAATAATGTTTACCAATAATAGTTGTTAAAATTATGAACAACAAAAAAGTACATAATGAAGGTTGATGAAAATATTAGGTAAAACCCGTTAATCAAGAATCAAGATTTTAAAACCTTGTAAGATTTTGATATAAAAATCAATTTCTGCGAATAAGAAAGTAGTAACGAAGAGGCAACCGGGCAACTACAACTTACATCCATGGCTCAAGAGGTCATAAACTCCATTATCACGTGTTATTATGGCGATAATGTGATAACCACGGTTGTAGATAAACCATTAATAAAACCATTTATCTTATACCATGACTATGATGATATTATCAGAAAATACAGAAATTTTAAATTTGAGATTTTTCGTAATAATTTGAATGTATTGAGTTTGAAAAATTTTTAAATTGCAGCATTAGGACCAAACGGATAGCAGCTTAGGTCACACTGCTTTATAATTAAAACAAATTTTAAAATAGCAATACTTACTATATTATATGCATTTATGCAGCCATGCAGGCTAATCATCATTAGCCCGTATTTAAATTTTTTATATTATTACCATAAACGACTATACCTATTTCGCTCAGTAAAAAAACATAAATATTTTAATACAAGGTTCCTACTAAGTTGTTAGTGAAATTTAAAAAAAAAGAGTGGAAATCTACAATCATTTTTTAAGCGTCTGAACAAAAAATTCAAAAATATCACGAAAATTTGAAAATTATTTTTCAGTTAGAAATTCATTTAAAAATGTGTATGTATATTCAATATTTGAAAATGTAATACAAAATGAATCGTGAGTTTTCCTACATTTATAAAAAAAAGTATATCGGAACGTCAAATAAATTTTTCATGAGCGTTTGAAGTTATAGACATTGGATATTCACACATAAATTAACAAATCTCAGATTTTCATACTATTTTCTTATTTTATTGTAATTCAAAATCTATAATCCGAAATAACTAGAAATTTAAGCAAAATGTACATTTTATCATTTTCTACTTGATAAAAATTTCAAAATATTTTGATTCATTTTAAGCTATATTTATAGACATTTGACATTTTTAGCTTTTTAATTTTTTTTTTCATTGGGTCATAATGCTTGACATTTTAAAACAAGCCCCTCATAAGTTGTTTTACTTGTTATAATAGAAGTTGATACATTTTAAAGATTCATAAACTCGATTTTTTTGTAAAGATTATAAATTAGAATTTTGATAAAATTCATAAAAATCTCGAAAATTTGCAAAATTATTTTGTACTTCAAATGCATAAAATGTGTATTTGGCCACTGGAGCCAGCAGGCGTATATAGAGAGGTTCTACACTGCCTATAAATTATATAGGTAGTTACTACTTTTCGCACTATAACTGGCAAGGTTATACGAGAGATCTGTAGGACCTCGAGTTTTGTGACCGGACCTGTTAGGTGATAACCTGTTGTTTACTCGAAAATAATTGTAAAACTAGTTGTTATATCTGAGTATAATAGACAATAGTACCTACCTCAAAGGCTCAAAAGCATAGAGCAGTGCCGTATTTAGGTTTTTGTCTTGGTGGGAGGGGGATATGATTTTATCCAGTAGATCGCCCCGCCTTTAAAATTAGAGGCATTAAGTTAAGACTCCAAAGTCCGAAAACTTTTGCATATTATATAGGTACAGTCTACGTCTCGCCATCATTTATTATCCAGCCAAATCTACAAAGTTTTCGTCCGATTATCATAAATAGATTCAGCAGAATCCGTAATGTCATATATAGGCTATACTATTTTTCCTTTTCACGACATAAATGTTAAATTTATAGTTGACTCCCAAAAAACTATATTTTTTTATACATAGGTACATAATATAATAGTATAATTGTCATTGGTTATAGAAAATAAAATAATTATTACGATTCGATATAATTTTAGACCTGTATTTTATATTTGCAGTTCAAAACAGCCAAATAATACTCTGTTAAAAATATTTTTAGTTATAACTAGGTCACGGATGTTGTTGCATTTGCAACTTTTCTTCTACTTTCCCAATTTATAGTTAAGTAAGTTTTATATACGTTGCATGTAAGTGCGAATTCAAATCTAAAAGTTTTAAGTGCAATTTTTGGAATTTTTTCAATTGTATTGCAATTTTGTTGAATTTACTCATTTATACAACTGTTTTAACTATATAGTCGAACCTCGACAGTCGTATAGATAAGATTATACTTTAATATCTCCAGCCATACATTAAATTAAGTTGGTTGATATTCAATACAATACAAAAATAATTTGTGAAATGTGACTGTTTGACTGTTATAATCTGTTCTTCAGTCACTCCGTAAATTTTGAGCTATCGCGTTCTATTATTGTTCTGTAAATATGCCGAAAATTATACCCAAATATTTCCACTGTTTTAAAAAAATACGAATCAGAATTTAGTAAGAATGTATTTTCATGTGATGAATCTGTATACTTTTCTGTAAATTGTGCGAAACAAAAGTGAACGCTTAACTTGTTGAAATTTCAACTTCAGTCGATTAAGTATTTATTCACTCGAACTACCGATTTTTGCCGGACGCGATTTTAAAATTAGAAAATCAAGGACTTCCAATAGTTGAAGCTATTGGAATAATTAAAAATGTTCAAAGTAAATTAGACAATATATTTTGTGAAATCGGAATTTCAGTCTATGAAAAATTCAAGAAAGTTATTGAAAGAATATCGTATTAGTATACCTGCGCATAGATTATTAATTATTTATTATTATGAAATGTAAAAAAATTATTTTTGTAACATTAAAATACAACATCTATAAATTATAACGAAACGTTGTTATTTCTTAGTGCAACTTTTAATATTTTAAGTGCAATTTTCAGTATTTTTTAGTGCAATACTGCAATCAATTTTATTAGTTTTTTACTACTACAACATCCGTAACCTAGTTATAACTAACCTACTGTATTATTTATCTAATTCGATGAGTTTACACTTAATTTAGTTTTAAAAAAATGAAAAATGTGTCCTAATTTCATAATCTATTTTATAAACATCTCTTAGCAATGTGGCTTGCTTCGAATTAGCGTGTACCAAAATTAAGATTAGTGGCTAGTAGCCACCCCTGCTATATACCTATAGTACCTAATATACAGTTATACCTATAAATAAAAAAAATAATATAAATACCTATGCCTATATATTATAATTTAGATGTTGTCAATAGACGATATAATACGATATACTATAGGTACACCAGCATTATCTTATTATGTAGTAACTAATGAGTAATGACTAATAAGTAATAGTAAATATAAAATCATATATGATTTGTCATTCCACAATTCCACATATTATTATTATACATTTCTAACTGCACGATGTCACAATAACGTTTCAAAGATATTGGGAGTAATGGGAGTTTTAATTACTTTAAAATTTATTTAATTTCGAGCTACCAATAAAACCTTTGTAGCCTTGTAGGTAATCCGTTATCAGATGTTTGTATGACAACTAGCTATAAGTTAATAAATCATAATATAAGTACCTATCGCATATAGGCACAAAGATGAAAGAGCGTTTGGAATTTGGTGGGGTTAAAGCCTAACTTTAATAATATTGAATAAGCTGTAACTAACAAAATGTAGGAAATGTTTGGGGGGCTATGGACATTTCTGGGAGGGTTCAGTCCCTAAAGCCCCCCCCTATTTGCGTCTATGGTACCTATAGCCTATTATAGGAGTCTAGTACAGAACTATAATACCTATAGTAGCCTATATGTACTATAATATAACAATGTACACAAACGACCTACATGGCTACATATAGGTAGGTATTATTAATATGATATATTTTACCAAATCGTATCGTTTGAAATCGTGAACTCCTGCAGAAGACTATAACTTAAAAAGTAAAGATATCTAAGGATTTTTTTCTAGCCTTCATTCTTAACTCGTTATTGTACATAATTGCGCAGGTTACAAAAAAAAAAATTGGAAAAATAGCCACCCGGTAAAGTAGTCACTTGTCACTTGTTTTCGAATAAAATAAATAGCTAAAAAAGTGCTTAAGCTTAATTTAAATGTTTAGAAGAAAATGGATATAATATTAGTCCATAATTATTTTTGTAGAGGACATAACGGTACCTACCTATCTCATTTTAGGAAGAAAATGGACCCGCCCTTTTCGTCGGTCCAATTAATCGCTGGTAGAGAACATCGCGGGTGCAGCTGCTGCTGTAACGTGCCTACGTTCGTATAATATGTTATTATGATATTGCGCATCTGCAGACTACTTTCGTCGGAGGTGGGACGGTGAGGGGGGCGGGCGTAGTATGTTTTTTTCGTTTCAACCTACGGATCACGATTCACGGGACGGGGACGGTGTTGTACAACAAAGACCACACTGAGCTGTCTGGGCCTACGCGCGCCAGTCTGAGGTCTGCCAAAAGTAGCCAACAGGCCGAAATAAAATTAAAAATCTTTTTTTTTCCGTCAACGATACAAGCGCATGGCGGCAATAAATTATAATGTAAAATTATTAGGTATCTATTATGTTCATATATTATATGTTTATGTATAATTTATACCTACGCCTATAGTATAGGTAATATTATCATCATTATTATGGATTACGATTAGTATATATAGCCTATAGAGCATAATATTATACTACATATTATATTATAAAAACAGGATGTAACAGAAAGATCTGACGGCAAAAAAAACAATTGATGCTAGTTAAAACTTAAAGGTATGAAAAATTGTGAAAGTTATGGATATAGATAGTAAATTATTTAAGAAACATATTCATGCCAGGATAACTCCTAAAGGAGTTCCAGAAAACTCCAAAAAATTATATTTTTAAAAAGTTAGGTATTACGTAAAATTATTGCATTATCAGTTCTTTCTGTTTCACTCTGTATATAGTATAATATACACATCACTACATCAGTACACATCGTATGCGGAATTTAAACCTGAATACCATTAATAAAATGATAAATCCCACATACCTAGGGGCTAGGTTGTTCGACGGATAGCTCCAAAGTCCAGACCACGATTAAAGATATTTTGCGCCGTACGAGTATAATAGTGTTGTATACCAAATGCGTAATAGTAGAACCAATAAAGACTATAGTACATTGTAGTATTGTACATTAGTTCAATAGTACGCATTGGCATTGCCGGATTGGCCGTAATATTATCTAGGTGTACAAGAGACGTAAGAGTGTGTAAACAATAAATATAATAAATGATAATATTGTATATTATACGTCTATATTAAAAATATAAATACTTTATCGTGATCCGGACTAATAATATAATAATAATGACTCAACATCATTCGTCAGTATTTGGTCTCGGTAGTCGTTTGTAAGCACGATAAGGGACAAGGGCCGAGGGGAATATTATGTTATTTTGTATTACCGTATTGGCACCAGGTGTGCAATTATAGCCAATAGGTGTGTATCGCATAATATTATTTATATTTATATAAAAAAAAAAAATAGTAATATATTTGTTGCACATCGATGTAGGTTTTAAAATATTATCGTCTTTCGTGCGATTTCCACTCCAATAATAAATTGCGGTAAATAGTAATTTCGAAATTGGGTATTTAAAATAGAAACCGATAACCGACAGCCAAGACTCTATAGAGCACGTCATGTCATTGCAATATTATTTATAATATAATATTATTAATTTATAATACCTAGTCACGACTTGAAGTGGAGTCGAGTGCTCAGATATCAGCCGTGTCGAGCTGTGCGCATATGTACATAATACAACCACAGAGACGGACTATAGAATAATACAAGACGTGTAAAAGTTTACAACCACAGATTACATTATTTTATAATATTGTAAAATATAATATCCATGTACGAGCATACAACTAAAAAGGATCTTTCATTATCTACGGTTTTGCTGCGGAGTTTTGCAGTATTTCCCCTTCCTGTAACGTCGTGACAAACGGCGATGTCGTCTTTGCATCTGTAGATCGAGCGTGCGCGCACTCGGCATGGGCGGAGAGAGACGGTCGCGGGACGACGCCGAGATCAGGGACGGGCGCGCGCCGCGCGGTTTATTGGCAATCCACTACAATAGTAGGTAGTATCGTAGTTACTATAGTACGGCCGTATAGACCGACACTGCTGACTGGTACGACCACGCACGTCAGACGTCAGTCGCTACTCACCACTAGCCAGGGCTGCACGGGTTTCGGCGTCGCGATCCGTCGACTGTATTATTATTATTATTTATCTCCGGCGGTCCCGCGATTTATATCATTATTATTTCATCCCCGCTGCGCGGCGTGTCGGTACCGTTTACGAATTTTTATTTCGCGCCGGCCATTTGCCTCCGTCGTATTTTTCTTTAAAGTCATTTTCGTTCGTTCTGTTTCTGTTCTGCGCCAGTCGTGTTCCGATTCCGTTTCAGCGTCATAATTTTATATGACTACGGACGAAGTATCCGAATTCACGTCGATATCCATCAATCAGCGAATCCACTGTCCAGTGAAATAAAAAAACCAGGTAATCATCAGGACCGAGGAGTCTGCGATCGTTATTTGGGTCTGGCACCAGGGTGGCTGGCATTGGTTCTAGGCGGTGATTTATAGGGATAATTGTGGCGGGATAAGTTGGTCGGTGGTTGGTACCTACCCATAAAATAATATGCAATAATAATATTATTATTATGCCGTCTAGGTTTTACCTTCACTTGTCCTGATGTAAATAATATAATAGGTACAATGTTTGTAATAATGTTTTGTCTAGTGTTTTGTTATTAGTAGGTAGGTAAAGAGTAATACAATTCTGAGCACTGACCCTTTTTCTGAATAATATTGCTGTGAGTCAGCTGTTATCCTTGCATACACTCTTATTTTTTGAGTATTAATGTTTACCTAATATAATGATTATATTATACTGGATCTTGAATCATTACTTATTCCAAAATTGGAACTTTTCGAAAATATTATTTTTACATAATTGTATGTCATTGTTAAAAACAAAAAAAATATTATTTTTAATTTTTTATTGTTATCACTGATAATTTTATTTTTTTGAATGTCAACAAACATTTGTAATTTCTTATCCCAAAAAATAATATTTTCTGAATCTTTCCATACCTATAAAAGTATTTAAAGTATAGATGTTAGTGGATCAACATATTGCAGAGTATGGCTGTACCAATCTATTCGACTCTTCTAAACTTCAAATGCTTGAAAGTGAAAACTGATTAACTAAACCTAGGAACTTGTTGAAAATTTATATATTTTGATGTACCTATCAAAATAAACTGAAAAATATTTTGCTTCGGTCTTCGGAATATGAAATTTAAAATAAACCTATGTTGTCATACAAAAGAGTAAAACGTAAAAACTAATAGATAATATAAGAAACTGTATTTTAGTCTTTATATATTATATTGTTCTAGGTAATTATTTTTAAAATAGATAATAATACTTACAATAGAGTACCTAGGTAGGTACTTAATATAAAGTATTATTTTACCTATTATTCACTTTTACCGAGGGGTAAACCACTCTTGGTAATCAGTGTACAAATGTTTGGAAATCTGTGGAAATCTGTGGTAATCTTTGGAAATCTCTGGTAATCTTTGGAAATCTTTGGTAATCATTGGAAATCTCTGGTAATCTTTAGAAATCTCTAGAAATCTATGGTAATCTTTGGAAATCTCTGGTAATCTTTGGGAATCTCTGGTAGTTTTTTGAAATTTAGAATTAATTTTCGATTTTGCAAACCTCAGTAGACATGTTAAAACTAATAATCATAGCATTTCGGTGAATTAATTTAAAATAAATGTATAAGATTTAAATAAGTAGGTATCCTATTTAAGTTCAAAACACGATATCAACACTTGATATTCAAATTTTTCTATTGAATTATAATAAATTGCAAAATTGTTTATTATAATTTTCGAGATAATTTTGAAAAGTTTTGTACAGTAGGTTACAAGTTACAAGTATGTACTGTAATGTATGGTGTTAAATTTGAAATTGAATTTGGTTGTAATAGGTACCCACATACTATTATATTTAAATAATTTACTTAAGTAAAATTCAAGATGAACATGAAGATTCATAATATTGTTGAATGATATTTATTTAATTATTAAACAATAGGTATTATTTTGATTTTAATTCGAGTTTTAATTATATTCTAGTTGTATTTCATAAAAAAATATCTATTTGCTTCATTTCTGTTGGTATTTTTTTTTCTGAGCTAAGCAATAGACGTTTATGCAATCAACCGGCATTCACCGAATAAAAATGTACATTTAATAATTAGTTATCCTAACTAACTCATTGTGTAAACTGATGATAATAAAATGGGTGCAATAAATATTTACCTAATTCAATAAAAATGAATCTTCGAATTAATCAAAGATATTAAACAGTGATCAATAAATTAAAAATTAAAAATGATAGGTAATACCTATTGCGTAGTACTATAATACCTACGCAAGATCGATTTTTCAGAAAATTGAATTTGGTTTTTGGTGTAACTTTAAAACAAATGACCGTAGATACATCCAATTTTCACTGGTTGTTTATATTTGCATTTTCTATACACGATAACATTTTCAAAATATTTTGATTTATTTTGAACTGTTTAGGGACATTTTCATTTTTCATTTTTTTTTAGTTTTTTTTCTAGAAATATCAATAAAATTTTATTTGTTGGTTAAAAAAACTTGAAAATTTAATAGAAGGCTCCTAGTATATTGTTTCAAAGGCAGATGAAAAATATTAAAAATTGTTAGGCACAGTTTTTTTTATAAACATTTAAAGTTCAAAAATTGACAAAATATGGAAAAATCACGAAAATAAGCAAATTATTTTGAGTTGAGAATTCGTAAAAATTTTTATTTTTAAATCTAAGATTTTAAAATGTAATACAAGATTCCTTATAAGATTATCTACCTTTATCAAAAAAAAAAATGTCTATAAGAAAGTCAAATTAAATTTTTATGAGCGTTTGAAATTCAAATTTTTACAATATTGGATATTCACTCGATTTCTCATGTAGCGATTTCCTTATTTTGTTGTAATTCAAAAACGAATAACTGTAGATCCATGAAAATTTCACTGAATGTTTAAATTAGCATTTAAAGATCGAATTTTGACAAAATTTATCAAAATCTCGAAAATTATCAATCATTGTAATTAATAAATTATAAAATGTTCAGTTTTTATAGCTAAAGATTTCAAATTTAAAACAAAGTTTCTCATAAATAGTTCATACTGTAACCAAAAAATCTAAAAAATATATTAACACAGTTATTTTTTACAGACATTTTAAATTCAACGAAATTAAATATTAAAAAACCTAGAATAACTATTTTAGTTATTTTGTTGTGATTGAATAATGTTATTCGTGAGTACTTGAAACTTCTAAAGTGTACTATTATATAATATCTATGATAGTATCATGGTTTTTGTTGATGTATAACGCATTATAAGTACCTAATTTATATTGTGATATGATTAATCTGGAATTTATTATAGGTAGACTGACATACCGTCTCCGCTCAGAATCGCTTTTCTTATACAATGATATTATATCGTTGAATTCAAATTTAATAGCATCCATTATACAGTGACCCACTTGTAACCTACTGTACAGCAGAGTGACACCCACTTGGCCACCTTTTTTTATTTTAAAGGTAATCTCTGGAAATCTCTAGTAATCTTTGGTAATCTTTGGAAATCTCTAGTAATCTTTGGTAATCTTTGGAAATCTCTAGGAATCTTTGGTAATCTATGGAAATCTCTAGTAATCTTTGGTAATCTATGGAAATCTCTTGAAATCTTTGGTAATCTTAGGAAATCTCTGGTAATCTTTGGAAATCTGAAATCTAGTGTACACATTTTTTAATAGTGGTTTACCCCTCGACTTTTACTTTGGTAAAAGGACGTTTCGCCCCCGTCAAGAAAGCAAGTCCACGGACATTTTGTCCCCGTCAATTATTAAGATAAGACATTTGGCCCCCAGTATTTTAAATCACTACATTAAAATTGCTTTTTTAATTTAAATTTTTCAATTATTTTTAAAAAACATACAATTTCAATATAATTATTTTAGAATCGGATGGTCACAAAAATTTAATTTAATTTCGGTTTCTGCTCTAAGCTAAAAACTTGTATTTATAATTTGAATATTGATGTTTAATTTGTTCTCAGTTATTTCAACTATTGTTTTCATGAGTTAAATTAACGATAATTTTAGTCTATCAATACTGTATTCTTACCCTTTGGGATTTTCCATATATTTATTAATATTATATTATTATTATTAAAACTTATAACTTTTTTTCAAAATATTATTTTTGGGAATTTCCTGACATGTGAAATTACCATTTTTGTTTGAGTTGTTCAGCGACAAAGACGACGACAACAACAACAATAATATTAACTCTCAGGGGCTAAATGTCCTATCTTAATAATAGACAGGGACGAAACGTCCTCGATTCATTTATTTTATATTTTAAAAATATAATTTATTATAATATATTTATTGTACATGATAACCATGCTGCTGTATTTCTAGTTAACCGGGCACCCTAAGTTTTGGATTTTTTTTCCCATTATTATATAGGTACTTATTTAGGAATCATGGTGCAATTGAAAATTGGCTCAGATCAGTTTTAAGGTTATAACGGTATGACAATTATGGATCAGCGGCAGTACTATACTTGTCAAACCATAGGTTAGTTTGCCTATAATGTTTGCTCAGGTCTATACTTACTCCAAAAAGGACCCCCCCAACCTAAGTGGACTATGTACACCCCTGGGGGGGGTCAAGCCACCAACTTAGATGTCCTTAGTACCTTAAGTTTAGAAGCCAACTGGCGTAGAAAGCAACTACTTGTCATACTTAAGAAGTTCAAAATTCAAAGTGATAGGGTTATTGATTATATAAAAAAAGTATAAAATGAAAATAAAAAGGGTGCTTAGTGGTGACTGGTGTACTCGCTGGTGTACTTGAAAAGTTCCATTTGTTGCTATTTAATTATTTTAAAGATGGATGGGGTAGACAAGGGAATAACTTTTTGAAAAATATATAATTTTTTATAGGTAAATACGTACATGGAGTAAATACATAAAAAAAAATTATTAGATGTCTAGATAATCATGTTGTTTACTATCAACGTTTTATTTTTACAATTACTACAATGGGATAAAATTGTTTCAGGGTCTTTGAACAAATTTAGTTTTAACTTTTGGCTACTGTTAATAATAATATAATACACAATTAAATAAGACGTCACGTCATAAAATAAACATGCTATCTTTCAATTTAGTACCTAATAATGAAAATAACTGCTGTCAGTCAGTTGTACAGTTTATTAATATAAACTGTATATAAATTGTTGAGGTATTTTGTTTAATACCAATTAGGTAATAAACACTTGGCACTGCCCTGTAGTACATATTTATATTTTTAGTATCAATTGAGATCTAAAATTCTAAACTATACATAGAAAATATGTTATAAGTAACATCAAGACACAATACCTGTGATTATTTGGTAGCAGTTGTAATTCCGATCTCGTTTCTATATAACTTTAGAGTAGGTAGTTATAGCTTTTTGCTATTCTAAAGTGAATTACTTACTGCTATTAAGTGACCCAGAGACTATGATTTTTGGTTAATAATGTTTTTGTTTTTAGATTTTGTGAATCAATAAGGCTAAGCAGTAAAATTTTTAAATTTGATTCAAGTTTTTAATTTCCCATAGGTAGATCTAGTATCTACTTAGTGCTCACTGGTTATTTTAAGTGGGCAGGTAACCTAACTGAAGGTATTAATGTTTAACTTTTCTAATAAGGTTGGGTATCTATAGATTTTTAAGTTAAACATTTTTATTTAAGTTATATTTTAAATCTTGGTTACTTTTTCTTTAAGTACATTCAAATAGACGGGTATAGGTGTACTTTGAAAATTACCCGGGGTGAAACTTTAAATTTTTCAAAAAAGGTTAAATATAGGTCTCAATACCTTATATTATATTATTAATTTATAGGTATAGGTTATTGTAAATGCTTGTTGAAAATATTATATTATGTACTTTATTGTTTTATTCATTTTTAAAATTTTTTTTTTAATATAGTTTCACAATGGATTTGGAATTTGACTCTCCTACGGTGTTCATTGAAGATGTCACATTACCTTCATTGTTGACTAGTTTTAGTACATCAACTACAAGTTCGGTAGAGTTTACATCATCAGAATCAGAGTCAGAAACTACTCGAATACCCGTTACCAAACAAAAAACAAATAAATGTATTAATTATAAAGGTCCAATAAAATCATATTCATTAGCTGATTTAACGACAATAAAATCTTTCAAACCTCTTATACGAGAAGATTCAGCTATATATTCAACAGAAACATTAACCAGTGCCATGACTTCCAGAACAGAATCAGGTATTCATAACTCTAATAGTTGTCTGAATTCATTAGGTAAAAATAAGAAAAAGTATGCACATGTTGAGAGTAAAGTAAAACAATACATAAAGGATATTAAAGATAATGAAGCTAAAAGTAAAGCTACAAGATATAGTTTACAACCTTCGTCAAGAAAACAGCAAGTAAATAAATATGTTGATGAAATGATTAAAACTGAAGGTGAAGAAATTATAAATCTAAAGAGTAATTTGAAAAAACTTGAAATTCAATTATTGGAGAAAAATAGACTTATAGAACAACTTCAATACAATTATAAAGTAATGGAAAATAAGTATAATTCTGCAACAAATATTATTTTAAAATTGGCCAAACCCAGTAGAGATGTGTTAAAATTTACTGAAAATGAATTAATAGAGCCATTATCCCCTGGTTATAGTATACCACCCCCTAAAGAAGTTTGGGGCCGTGGCTATAAATTAAAACCATCCAATACATTATCAGCAATACAAAAAGAAAACTCGAATCTAGAAAAAGAAAATGGTCTCAAGGTTCGAAAAGTGAAATCAGGAGGTGATTTGATAAATTATTCCAATATTAATGCCTACAAAACACCAAGAGATTCAAGATCTGCTATACAAAAGGTGAGTCATAAATATCAGATAATTAATCAAGTCATAAATTAAAGAAAAAAAATATCATTTTTTTTACTTCAACTGATTATAAATGTCAAATACTTTCATAGAATAAATAAGATAAAAGTTATATTAAAATATATAAGTTCTAATTTGTGTTCAACTGAAATATTGATTACAGATAATTAAAGTTATTTATATTAAAAAACATATGCGCAAATCACATAGGATATAGGGGGCTTATCCCCTCCCCAAAAAAAATATATACAGATTTTTAGCTGGGGGGATCGATCACATTAAAGTTAAAAATGTTAGACCCCCAGAGATTGTAATGGATTTGCGCCTATGATTAAAAGTTATGTGACCAAAAGTGCTATTACAATTTGGTCAGAGTGGTATGGAGGTCGATATTTGTGATTGGATTTTAAATTGAAATTCATAATTTATCATTGCATCTGAAAAATGGTTCTGAGCAGAGCTTTATTCAAACTGCGCTTGCTTAAAATTGAAGAAAATCAAAAAGTGACCACTCCTAAGTAATAATCAAGTGTAAACTCGGTTTAAAGTACAAATCAGATCCAATTTCTAATTTTTTTTTTTTTTTTTTATTAGATAAAAAGGTACTCGTCTAATATGCTACCTACCATAAAATGGTATCTACCAAAAAACTGTATGCGTGTAGTATGCTACCTACCGTAGTTATTTTTATTTTATTTCATTTTATTGCGGGAAAGTACATTTGAGTCATTACGATAAATAACATATTAAAACAGTTCTACAAAATTATAGCATAGGTAATAGCCATTAAGATAACTGATCCACCAAGACCCATGATAACTTACTGTGTTGTGTTCGGGTATGTGTGTGTCCTATTCGTTGCGAGTTTTACTTTTAAAAATAAAACAGAACTAGGAAATAGAACTAGGATCAATTATTTATTCAGATCAATGGCGAGCATATAGTACCTTAAAAGATATAGGCTATCATCATGAAACCATCAATCATTCCGAGTTTTTTGTTGATCCTACTACAGGCGCACAAACACCAACGATCGAGTGTATATGGAGACATGTCAAAACTAAATACGGAATTAAAACCCGAGGAGCAACTGATTTGTTATACCGAAAATTATAAGAAGAATGGCGGCGGCCCATTAATACGCAGAACGACTTATTAGAAGTTTTCTGTGATGATGTAAAAATAATATATAATGTATACTAATATATTATAATGACGTATAGTCGTATAGAAATATTATAAAGTACTTGACAATGAAAATTAATAAATTATTTAGTAATAAACTGTTATTAATATTGTCAATTTGTTATTAATCAATAACCAGTAAACGTATTTTTGGTAGGTATCATTTTACGGTAAGTAGCATACTCACCAACGAAGTAGCGGTAGGTAGCATATTAGACGAGTACCGATAAAAATAAGTATTTACAATCTGTAATATTTATATACAACAATAACTAATAAGTAAATTTGATAACAAAAAGTACAAAACATAAATGGCGTGAGGAGGGAGGCCTACCATTGGGTTAGTGGATACCCTCCAATTTCTAATTGACTTGAAACTTTGAAGCACTGTTTTTTCTTAAAAGTTTTCCTATAAAAATTCAACATCTATACAAACCAGTATATTATTTTTAATCATCAAAGAATATAGGTAGTTATGTCTAGTCTAGTCGGAATAGTCCCAATCTGTAGATTATATAATATTTTTTAAACGTATATATAAATAAGTAATTATTTTAAATTACACCTATATTTTTATTTTTCTATAAACAGTTAAATAAATGTTGTTTTTTACCAGGTTTTAATGGTTATAGGCTATACTATTAGGGGCAAAAAGTGTGACAAACAAGCAAACAGTTCGCCTATGTTGATTGATTCAAAAATAAATTGAAAGGGCCAAGAATTTAAACTTTTTCTTTTAAGTTTATAGAATAATCAATAATATTATACTATATTTTATTGATTATGTTATTTATATTTAGACAATGTAAAACAATAAGGCTGTAACACATGGTTCATTTTTTTTTGAAATTTTATGTTTTATTTTCATATTTGATTTAATATTTTGGCGGGCCTGTTAATGAATGACCTCAGGCTGTTATTGGTTACCGCTGTTTTATATAATATATTGTTTCTTAATCTTGAACATTAGGGTTTACTTATTTTGAAATATTTAAAATAATTCACCCTTAAATCAAGTTTAATATTAAATTTTCAATTCTTTTATAATTTAAGATAAGTTATACCAAATTACGCTTCTGTGGGTAATGTGAATAAAACAGATTAGATTGACAATCTTTTTTAAATATATTTATCATAATATTGTATTAAAAATTAATATATTTAATTGAACTTACCTGTGTACGTTCTTAATCTCATATAAATACTTGTAACATAATCCATTTGGCTATGTGTTTTTTTGGCAGTATCCCAGTGGTCCCCCTGTCTACTGACTTTTACATAGAAATGTTTATTTTTATACATTGAAGACAGCTTTCGAAATGCCACGACTTCTAAAACAATATTCTAAAATATGTACAATAAAAACAACTTTACTGTTAAATGTTACATCTGTAAAAACTTTACTTTATAATTAAATATATACTTCATACCTAAATAACTTTTGAAGACTTAAATATACAATATACATAAGCTGATACAGATCTTAAAATTGGGTTTATAGCTTGTAATATTTGTAGTTCTGTAGCCCTGGCATCGTTGGTGAAAAATTGTTGGTTATCCAAAGAAGTGATCATTGTTTATTTGTGTCAGTATAATAGTCATTAACCAATATATAATATATATTATTATGTATGTTGCACTGTTATAGAACCATTTATAAACATATTATAGTAATAAAATACATGGTTTTTATTTCGATAGCTTAAATTGCATTTAACAATAGACACGCACACAGCTGAGATTGTTACGTAGGCTATCAATACCGCGACGTACCTTTTTTGTACAATAGAACTAACACGTGCTTGTCATTGTACGTGTTTCTCAGGCCATCTGGTTGCGGGCTGCATACAACCGGAAACGGATGAAGAAGTATATTCTTACTCTATGGGATGAAGTCTTTACATATTACATCCCCTTTAGTTCGCGCATGAATAAAATCTCATATAAATCTAGTTATTTTTGTTCAAAACTGCCACATGCATACCGTCCTGTATACTATTATTTCATTTTTCAAGACAATCAACTAGCAAGGCATAACACGTTTTGTGTAAAGGACATCCTATACATATTGTATATTTAGTATATAATTTACATTTTCTATTATTAGACTTGTATTCAATTTCTATGTTATTAAATACAACTAAATCTAAGTAATCAAAATAATATTTACCAACGATTCAAGTTTTCTCTAGGATTTTTAGAGTTCCAAGATCTGAACATCGCAGGGCTTAGGTAATGTTTTACACTTTTAAGTTTTTTAAACACTTTGAAGTCCTTACAAATTATTTTTTAAATCTTAGTCATATTTTACCTTATCTTACTGTTTGGCGTTTAGTACCTAGGTATCAAACTTAAGTGTATTTTTGAATGTGAACATCATAAACTGGTACCTACTACATATAGTAATTAGAGGACTACACCATATTATGGTATGTAAAAATTTCGTAAATTTCGATTTACGAATCAGTAAAATTAAATATTATTACATTGAAAGGTTTTTTTAGACATTTTAAAACATAATATATGTAGGTACTGATTAGTTAATAATTTATGTAAAAGCAGAATTTTTGACATTTTCTTTCAACCATAAGCATTTTACATCCTGAGCGGATTTATATTGCCCTTAGTATTAGTATGTGTGGGTATGTTTTTTTGTTGTGTTATGGTAGTGGTTTTTGGTAGAAAATTCAATCTACATTGTTAGTATTTTGGAGTCAAAATTAAAAACCCAGAACTTTTCAAAACAATCGGGAAAAACAAAAAATAGGGAAATATGGAAATTCAGAAATGAATAGCTGAATAAAGACTCGAATTTTTCATCAAATATTTACTTTAATATTTATATTGGCATTTTCAAAATATTTTGTTTCCGTGTGCTATATTTTATAGTTATTCGAAATTATACTTTGGGGGTAGTTTCTGGTAGCTAAGTTGGTACTTTTGAGAGTTACAATTCAAATTAATTTTCAAAAGCGTAGGGTGATACAAAAGAAAAATTAAGAAAAAAGATAAATTTTACGCAAAACTATTTTTCGACTAAATTAATTTTGTGTTTTTCTAGTAACTCAAAAACAAATAACCGTAGATACTTGATATTTTCACCAAAAGTTAAAATGATAATTTTCTATTCAAGATAATATTTCAAAATATATTGACTCGTTTAAGCTATTTATAGATACCTGAACATTTTCAATTTTTTTTCAATAAATGTGAAAAAAAAATTTTAGCCCATCAAAAAGTTTGAAAATTAATACAAAGTTTCTACTTTGTTCTAAAATCAGTTTAAAAGTACTCAATATACCTGATCACAAATTGTTTATTTAAACTTCAAATTTTGACAAAATTCATCAAAATCACAAAAATTTGCAAATTGTAAATTAAGTTAAAAAATTATAAATTGTTTAATTTTTATAGCTAATGATTGGAAATTTAAAACAAGGTTTCTGGTTTCTCATAAGTAATTCATATACTAAACAAAAAATCAAAAAATATATTAACACAGTTTTTTTATAATATAAATATTTTAAGTTCAAATTTGTATGAAATTAGATATTTAATCAAAGAATAACAATTTTAGATGTTTTGTTTTAATTTAAAAATGTCAATTGTGGGTACTTGAATTCAAGTTAAAACTGTTAAAGTATATATTTATATTATTATGTTTTATACACATTACACACAATGATATTTTGAAATGCAATAATTTCTGCCAAAATTAATTTATCCTACTGTATGTCTGTATTAGGTACTAATAGTAAAATAAATTACTTTAATTGTAATAATTATCATAAACTATACTTAGTAATAAAGGCTTACAGACAGTCTACGCTCCGAATGGTTTTCCATAGATAATGTTTATATCATTGAATTCAAATTTAACACTTGCATTAACAGACTACCTAAACCAGACAACCCAATACCTACTATACATCACAAGAGTGATTTCTGAGGTTTTTTCCTAAAAAATATTTTAACCAATATTAATAATAATATTATTATTTATTTCTAAATTTTTAACTATAGACTTTTATACTAAAGTATTTATGCCAGCGTTAGAGTTGCTTAGGTCAATTCTGTTAAAAAAGTTTCATCATCAAGTTTCAATTAATAAAAAATAACATATTCTTTATGGACTATAATTATACATTTATACCTAAACTATACAACATATCTCGGATGCCTATTGCTCACCAAATATCAATATTTTGTTGTCTTATTTCACCATTTTCACCTCTAACCTCTGGATATTTATAAAAAAAACCATGTCTAAATGATTGGGTGACCTTTCCACCTTCACTAGGATAATGAAAATCTTTTCAACTATCCTGATCCAACACTGATTGAAAACCTCAATGCTTCAATTGGTTTTACTAGGAGAAGCATAACCTTCTCCCATCATCGATTTAGCCACATCCTACTATTCTCTTATTCCTTTAAACTATTCTTGAAGTTCCCATTCTGTTCACTTCATAACAGCCCCATGACCTGTGACATTTTGCATCTCCTATACGGCTGCCCTAAAATAGTAAAATGTTAACACAATGTGCTTACTTATTACTTACGCACTTGCCACATGACCACTTCTTAGCTCATTCAACAATCATAAATAATAATACATACAAATTAATACACATAGGTGTTAGTTCAAATAATTTAAAATTGAATAATTCTTTTCTTTTTTCAATTATTTGGTATTTAATTTTCTTAAAACTATGTGTTTTAGGTGAAGTTGTGGCAAGAATCATTAGCAAGCACTGATGTTTCTGAAATGGACACAGATCAAGATGTAGAATTTCAATCACCACATTCATATTCTATATCATCTAATGACTTATCATTGAGTTCATTAGAAATTGCACCAGTGATGAGTAATAAGTATCCGAATAAACATGAATGCCGCAGTGATTCATCTGGTTGTGGTATGTCTTCAACCAGAGTATCTAAAGAAAATACATTAGTTAGTGGTATTAATATATCAGTTGATAACAATGAACTGTGCTCTCCCTGTGAAACTGTAAAACTACACTCTTCTACACCCATAAAAAATATTGGACATAATTCATATTCAACTAAGACCAAAAACTCAACTATATCAAACAGACAAAACGATGAAGCTCAAAAACGCCGTTCATCAAAAAAACACAGAAAATCGGTAACTATATTATGACTATTCTATTATAAGTAAAGTATTCCTTAATGGTTTACACAACTTCTAATATTTTTTTTTTAATTGTTTGTTTATAGTCTATTAATAAATCTAGTATAAAAATATTAATACTTATAACAATTTGTTTATAGAAATCTAAAATTGAAGAAAGCGAATGCCCAAACGAAGTAGATGAATTTATGTGCCAATTTAAACATTGCATTGGTGTCATAAATGGAGTAGTCACAAAAATGGAAGAAAGCTTTATGTCGCAAAGATAATTTTTTTATTTAAAATGTTTTGTGCCTATTTTTGCATACCCATGTTATACAATAATGAATCGAGTTTAAAGGTTTATTAAAGGTTATCATTTATACCTATATATATATATACCTATTTTTATATTGAAGGGTTTCTTGTATTATTATAAAATTGTTTTGTTATGATTTTTGTTTAAATGTTTGTTTTTTACGCATTGTCATTAAATTAAAATAAAAAAAATAATATTTTATTATGTTAGGTGTATAACCAAAACTTATATTAGACTGTTAGGCTAATATCTACTTTCTTCTGTTAATATAAATTTAATATACTGTGTTCCATCAATTACTTTACAAAAATGAATTACTTTAATCTATTTATTTTAACATAATATATTGAACAGTTGAAAAACTATAAATAAGTGTCTTAAATTCTAGACAAGCCCATGATAATTGGTATACAAATAATGTTTTCCCAGAAAGTCCATACCACCTTATCATCCATTTGATCATGACTTATTAATTAATTGCAGTTCTTATTGAACTTATGTATGATATATTAATATAAATTATTGTAATAATAATAATAATAATGTAACCATTATATAACTCTTTATATGAAAGCTTCTGCCAATGAACTAATTTAAATTTAAATTATAAGTGCATCAAAACATTTTTCTAAAAATGCAAGTTATTATTATATAAATTAAGGGTACCGAAACTTTTCACATTTTGTAACTTATGTTAATAAATATCTATAATTCAATTCATATACGTATGTATATATTATTTTTAACTTAAGTTTTATGTTTTTAACAAAATGTTGACATTGTTAATCTAATTATTCTTATGTTTACTATTTAATATTTTGTTTAAGTGTTAAAACCCTTTGTTTATTTCTTTTTATGTTAAGATTTTGTTTATTTTCTCATAACCCAATTTTTTTGCTAATTTATGTTTGATTATGTAATCATAGATATTTTTGACTAATTATAACAATTGTAACCTTAAGTGCCATATTAGTATCTGTCTGTAGGTGTGTTTAATTGTTAACGACAAGACTGATTCTATATAAATAAAATACTAATTTATTGTTTACAATTTGTATTTATGATTTTTTATAACATGTTCAAGATAAAATGTGGATTATAATATTATATCCTCTTTGAAAACATATTGGAAAAATATGCTCAGTTTAAGAAAAGTTTGTGGAGTTTTGTGTTTAACATTTAGCCATATTTGTGGTTAAAGTTCATCGATTATCCTAATAATTGTATGATTTAAAGCAGTGGCATATTTTGGCTGGGGCCCACATGCTGTATATTGGTTAAGGCTGGCCGGCCGGCTACAGTACTTTTATCCATGGTTGAAATATACTAAATATATATTTCAACCATGCTGTTAACGTGATAATAAGAAAATAATCACTGAGAAATTATTTATATTTATCAAACGAAGGGTTGAAAATATCAGTAATGTTTTTTATAATAACTAAAACAATTAAACTATTATTATTATTTTTTTAGTTTCTATTTAATAATTTAATTACTGTGTTGAAGTGGGAAGGAGCGTCCACCTCCTACCCATTCACCAATTTTTATGCTACGCCACTGTATAAAAGAGTACTTTCTAATCATGTATTTATGTATACAGCCAAAGCCAGTCAAATAATATTCAATATTCAAAATACCTCATAAGATTAGTATAATATGGCTTTGTGGATAATGTATTAAATATAATATGAGATATTAGATGTTGGAAATTATGGTGACTTACTCATGTGACTTAGTACATGGTGTAAATTTTAATTCTAAATATAATAATTATTGACCCAGTTGGCTGGCCACTCATGAATTAAAAGTCCTGAATGATTAAAATGTACATTATATACCTAATCAATAAAATATGTTCTAACTCCAACCATAATAGTTCATATTATTAGGTATAATCATTTTTTAATGATTGCATGATTCCAGTTTAAATCTATTGTTAAATATTAAAATTTCTCAATGAACAAAAAAACATCTATGCTTAGTAAATTATTATGTCATGTGATTTGTGCATATGAATGGGTTATTTCTTATATTTTTTAAACATTTATATTATAATTATTCAATATAAGTTGTTCAGATGTACATAACAGGGTGGTCTATTTAAAATAGGTCACTCATTATTTTAAATAATTAAAAAAAACATATAATATTTTTACTATTTTTCATTGTATCATTTATTTTAATGTATTTTTAATTCCTTACTCTAAATCAAAACTTTTTGGAGTAATTCGATGAATAAAAATCAAACTTTTTACGAGGCGACAGGATTACTTATAAATTATAACTTATGTCTTATAAGTATTTAACGTTTTGATGAGTGAAGTGGGATGGTACAATAATACATACAAAATCTGGTACACAAAACTAAATTTCTTATTATTTTAAGTTTTAATTTTGTGAATTGAATATCTAAATTATATTTTTGGACTTGTTGACTTTTTTCAGATTGTACTTTTTGTCCATAGGATTAAGAAGCCATTAATTAGTAGGTACCTACTACCTATGTAATATACAAATATGATATTATTTGGTCCACTAACTCCGTTAATTTAAACTTTAAAAATATAACTAAAAAACTACTAGTCCAAAATTTGATTTGTATAGATCGAAATATTCCGGATAATATTTTGCTCAGGAATATAGAATAAAAAAATTGTGTTGTGATTCGAAAGAGTAAAAAACTTAAAAAATTACGATAAAAATAGTAAAAAAAAATGATTATGATAAAAATTGTAAAAAATGATTACGATAAAAATTGTGAAAAATTATTAAGATAAAAAAGTAATAACTACTTAAAATTATGTAATAAAAATATTTTCAAAAACGAAAATGTTGGGTTTTTCTAAAATAATTATTATCTTATATTAAAGACTATTGGGTACATAATATACATTATGCAAAATACCTTTTCAAATATAAAATGTATTATTAATTATTTAAACAATAAATCTAGGTACTAGATCTAAGTAATAGGTATCATATTCATACTATCATAATATTATATATAGGTACAATACAATAATCGTTCTTACAGCACACTTCTAAAATGTATTATTTTGATACTATAATAATATTTTACGATATCTCACGTACCATAATATAGCCATCATAGTCCATAATAATATCTACTATTATAGCCAACAAATTGTAAAATATACAATTGTACAATAGTACGGTTACGTACAATGCAGTACCTACGTAATGCAGACGGAATTTCATTATGTAAATATATAAAATTTTAGTGTACTGTGACTATGTAATATACAAGGTGATGCATTCTGCTTTCATTATTTAGGTGATCGTTAGTGACTATAGTGTGTAATGGAAAATTAATTCTCGGGTAGTATTTATTTTTGAAATAAACAAAATTTGCATTTTTTCCATAGGACTTACCTACCTACAATATATTTTGTCAAAAATGTGATTGAGGAGGCCTGCACGGTATATAAATTTAAGGCCCACTTCTTCGCATCCTTTTATTTAATAAAATCAACAAATAGGCATTATTATACAGGTAGGTATTATTAATTATACAGTGAAACTTCCAACAAATAAAATTCGTGTTATAGAGAATTTCGTTTAATGGCATTAAATAAATTTGGTTCATAAAAATATGTCGTTGAACAGAAAATGTTGTTAAAAGGAAGTTCGTTTTATGGGAGATTTACTGTAATATAATTTGCACGTTTGTCATCACTTTATTATTTATTTTTTTTTTTATAATTATTCAGAGTGAGTAATGATAATAAGTAATGAATGATTTTATTTATTTCGAATGCATATAGTAGGCACGGTAATCGGTCAAATAGTCCGATTTAAATAAAGTCCGGAATCTTTTTTTTCTGTTCTGACAAAAAGTCAGAACAGAAAAACAGTCAAAAATACAAATACAAAAAACAACTAAAGTATAGGTAAGTCAAGTTAAAAATCTGTTTTTATTTTTTTTTACTCGATACAATAATCGTAATTGTATAGGCATAACTGTATAAGAATAAGAAATAATAATCAAATTAAATATTGTAAAAAAAATTATTTATTAAATATAGGTATATTTTAATTAATTAATTTTTATTATTATTTTAGGTTTTAATTTTGTAGAATTAATATCAAGTTGTATTTTTGAACTTTTTTGTTTACCTATTTATTTATTTTTTATTTCAAATCAGACTTTTAATTGTCCCCGGGATTCAGAAGACACTATTCAGTATGTAATATGATATTATTTGAATACAAAAAATATGTAGGTCTCTACGACCAATACACTAAAAAAAAATTAGATCCCCAGCTGCGGTACCTAGTTGGCAAACATGACAAATATTTATCAATACCCAGCTAGAGGTCGATGAGTTGTTTTAACTTCTATTATATTACTGCCTTGTCTCCTATGGTCCTATTTACATCTATAAATACATAGGTATTCTTATGTGATTTGTAATAGGTAGGTATATAATTTAATATACACGTATATAATATATATTATATATATATATATATCATATACATATACATGGAAAGAATGTAACTAGAATTCTATCTAACTGTTCTAACCATTCACCGACAAGTTAACGATCAAGAATTGAATGTCACTCTGCGTCGAGCTAAAAAAAAATTCTTTAAGTAGGTATTTAGAGTGAAATATGCCGCCTGCATAAAATGTTCTGAATGCAAACTGTCTGCTGTTAAATGGGAAATAGCCAATACCCAATAGCAATGAAGAATTAGACACGAGGAAAAAATAAACTGCATAAATACATGCCAAATTGCCAACATAGGTAACCAGGAGTTTTCAAACTACACGAGTTCCTTAGATACCTAGACCAACCGGTGAACGACGACCTACCTATACTGGCGGTTACTCGATTGTCAAACATCCGAAATCTTTTAGAATTTAGAATTTTTTTTACTGAAGTATAAAATAAAATACCATTTACTATTTAGGTACAATTTGCAGCAGGTTATTAGTAAGAC